GTGTATCACGCTTGTACTGTAGTATGTGCCCGACGACTACAATGGCCTTATTCAGCTCAACGACCAGGCGAGGAGTGTGTTACAAGCACCGAAAGACTGGGTTTGTCTGTAAGTGTTTGTAGCCTCCGGCGAAAAGGTAAGCCCGGATCGGGAGAAGCGGAGACGGCGGCGGCGGTGGATGGAAGCGGCAGGGACGGGGAGAATGAGCTTTGCCTGTTTGCATCCTCTCTTTTGGGCTGACCTTCAGGGATTTTGCCTGCTAACATTCGCTTGCTTAGCCGCCAGCATGAAATCAACTAACCCGATCGGCGGAACGGATGACGATTCTGATTACGCCGGGGAGCCATGTTTCTGCTTCTGGAGGAAAGGGATGCTCAGTGTTACCTCTTTGCTTGGCTCTCTCCCCCAATTCCTCTTTTAACATGGCCGTGATTGGCCTTGACTAATGCTTGATGAATGCATCTAACCAAATCCTTTAGTGGTTTATCTTGCAGGATTCAGCATTGACTTTGATGTTGGTGGATAATGTTGAATCTTCTCCAGATCTTTCAAGGAGGCATCCATAGGGGTGTATAGCTAAAGTTCAGACTAGAACTTGGTTGGGTTCACCAGGTCCACTGATATAGAATCATAGACTAATATGGAGTTGGAAGAGACCACATGGGCCATCTACCCATTCAGCATTGGCTTTGATGTTGGTGGATAATGTTGAATCTTCTCCAGATCTTTCAAGGAAGTATCCATGATGCTGAATAGCTAAAGTTCAGACTAGAACTTGGTTAGGCTCACCAGGTCTACTGATATAGAACCATAGACTAATATGGAGTTGGAAGAGACCACATGGGACATCTACCCCTCATGGTTAGACCATGCCTTGGTTAGACCACTTCACCTGGAATCACACTGTGTCCAATTCTGAGCACCACAACTGAAAGGAAATATTGACTCTAAGCTGGAATGTGTCCAGAGGAGGGCAACTCAAAGGATCAAGGGTCTGGAGAACAACCCCAATGAGGAGCAGCTAAAAGACCTGGACATGTTTAGCTTTCAGAGGAGGCATAATGAGGGCCTTATGTGAGGGGAAGTCATAGGAAGAGGGAACAAGCTTGTTTTCTGCTGCCCTGGAGACTAAGACACAGAACAATGGCTTCAAACTACAGGAAAGGAGATTCCACCTGAACATTAGGAAGGACTTTCTGACTTTTAGAGCTGTTCAGCAGTGGAACTCTCTGCCTCAGTGGAGGCTGCTCCTTTGGAGGCTTTTTGGATGGTCATCTGTCAGGGGTGCTTTGAATGCAATTTTCCTGCTTCTTGGCCGAATGGGGTTGGACTGGATGACCCACGAGGTCCCTTCCAATTCTATGATCTAGTCAAAACCCTCCACATGAGTCATCTAGTCCATATACATGCCACCATCTTTAACTGAAGGCAGTGAAGACTATATGTCCCATATGTCTTTCAAGATGCAGCATGGAGTGGTATTAATTCAGAAATGATGATGATGGAGACATATGTTCAGTTTATCACACCCTCTGTAACATGTGGAGGGTTGTTGAAGGCTTTCATGGCTGGAGTCATTGGGTTGCTGTGAGATTTTCGGGCTGTATGTCCATGTTCCAGCAGCATTCTCTCCAAATGTTCTAACAGCATTCTCTCCAAATGGCTAATGGCATCTCCAGAGGTTGTGTTGGCATTGAAGCAAGTGGAATGTGTGCATGTGTAATGTATTATCGAAGGCTTTCATGGCCAGAATCACTGGGTTATTATAGGTTTTTTCGGACTATATGGCCATGGTCTAGAGGCATTCTCTCCTGACGTTTTGCCTGCATCTATGGCAAGCATCCTCGGAGGTAGTGAGGTGATGCTTGCCATAGGTGCAGGCGAAACGTCAGGAGAGAATGCCTCTGGACCATGGCCATATAGCCCGAAAAAACCTACAACAACCCTGTGCATGTGTATGTTTATATATGTGTGTATGCATGGAGATAGATAGATAGATTAGATAGATAGATAGATAGATAGATAGATAGATAGAATAATAATAATAATAATAATAATAATAATAATAATAATAATAACAATAATATATAAAAAACCTTTATTTTTACCCCGCCACCATCTCCCCAAGGGGACTCGGAGTGGCTTACATGAGGCCAAGCCCGACAACACATCAATAAAACAAAATACAATAAGCAAAAACAATATAACTCGCATATAAACAATAACACGCAAGGATTTAAAAATCCTAGGGTGGAAGAAAGAAACCTTGTCTGTTTACAGCAAATGTGAATGTTGCAGTTAGCAAGCTTGAATTAATATTGGAACAGCCACGAAGTTTGCAAAGTCAATCAAGTGTGGATATTTGCATTGAGGTAGCCTGGCCTTTGTTGCTTGGGGGCATCCTCTGTTTGGGAAGTGTTAACTGGCCCTTAATTGATTGCTGTCTGGTGTTCTCCTGTTTTTGAATTGTATTCCTTATTTAGTGTCTTGATTTATTTATTTACTATATTTATATATCGCTTTTCTCAGTCCACGGGCGACTCACAAGCCAGTCAAGGGGGTCCTAGTAGTGATTGGCACACTGGGTGCAATGCCTAAAAACCTTGGCCTGCACTTCAAAACAATACACATACATACATACACACATTAGTAACCAGATTTTGTTCATTTTCATAGTTTCCCTTTCTGTTGAAATTATCCACATGCTTGTCCACGGCCACATGAACACCACTTAGTAACAGGAGAACTCCAAACAACAAGCAATCAAGGGCCAATTAAGACATCCCAAAAGGATGCCTCCAGGCAACAAAGCCCACGCTTCGATGTGGTGTCTCTATTTACCATGGTCCCGGTAGGTGACACCATTGCACTAATCAACCAGAAGTTCCCTTAAACTGTTGGAGGGCCGGAATATAATTTGAAAAAAACATGAATGAATTCCTATCCACACTACACGTATCTTATTTGTAGTGCAAAAGACACTTAAAAACAATACAATAATTAAAATGAACAATTTAAACAAATATAAACTTATTAGTATTTCAATGGGAAGTGTGGGTCTGCTTTTGGCTGATGAGAGAGTTGTTGTTATTGTGTGCTTGCAAGTCATTTCAGACTTAGGTTGACTCTGAGCAAGGGCTGGGTAAATGACCTTGGAGGGCCGCATCCGCCCCCCGGGCCTTAGTTTGAGGACCCCTGCAATAGTCCAGTCTGGATGTAACCAAGGCGTGGATCACGCCGGCCAAGTCAGACTTCACGAGGTATGGTCGCAGCTGGCACACAAGTTTGAGTTGTGCAAAGGCCCTCCCAGACACCGCTGACACCTGAGCATCAAGTGACAGCGTTGAGTCCTGGAGAACCCCCAAGCTATGGGCACAGCAGCTTCCCATTGCACATTGAGCCAGGGAGGGGACGACAACGAAGACACACAATGTCAGCTAGCTTGTAGAACCTATCAACAGGTGTAGGTTTGAGCCAGTCACAACAGAGACCCATTGTGTGTATCTTTAAGCAATTCTTCCTCTCTGCATAAGGCAGGGCATTGTAGACAAGCATACCGGTGCAGAGTTTGTTCTGCTCCACAGTCACACAAGGTGAAAGATTCTTCTAGGTAGTGCCATTTAGACTGTTGCATCCCAGTTCAAGAAACAAGACCATAGGATTAAATCCACCACACTGGACTGTAGGAAAAGCAATCCTTGTTTATTGATGAAAAATTGGTTACAAAAGAAAGGTAAATGCAGAGTCAAAAAGCCACAGAAAAGCACAGCAGTCAGTAGAATCTCTGAACTTGAGCAAAATTTCAGAAGCCACAAAACAAGAATCAGGGACCTGTTAGTCTTTTACTAACCAAGAACTTGATAAATACAAGCCTCTGGGATTACCGGCCATGAAACACAGGAATTCTGCCAAGGCACAGCCACAGTCCCAAACGTTGCTTGATCTAAAGAGGCACCCGGCAGGAGGCCTCTTAAACCAAAGAAGCTATTCTTTGAAACGCCCCTTGACTTTTCCGTCTGGGCCTCTTTCTCCTGTAAGCGCTGTGACCTTTGTAGAAACTGGGAAATATTTCTGTCTCTAACTATCTGTTCTCTTCGGTCCTCATTAAAAACCCCAGGTGGAGAGATATCACGGCTAGTGATATCACGGCTAACTTCCAAAACATTTTCCTCCAGCTGTTGGGTTTCGTTTTCATCCCCACTGACCTCTGCATCAACAACAGATTCCACACTGTCAGAGTCAGGGAGAGCTTGCTCAGTTGGAAAAACGATCAGAGAATCCGGTTCACACAGATCTGGATCAGGCTGAACCCCAACATAGACAGATTGTCTTTCGATCTCCCAACTCCACTTCTGAGTCTGTTCAGGGACTTCCAAGTTGCCCATTCCTGGTTTGCTCATAAAGGAAGACTCTCATGGGGGGTCATCCAGTTGGGATTTCCTAGTTTAGCTGCCCAGAAGGACACTTTTGCTGTTGCTGGGGGAACACCAAGAGGAGTGAAGCTTTTCCTTGATTTGAGTCTACGGGAAGAGGCTGGTAGCCATGCAGTGGGTGGCTTTCACAGTGTTCAACAATATTTCTCTCCCAGTTCGCAGCAACTTCCCATTGCACATAGAGTTGGGGGGAGGGGGATGACAACACACAATGCCAGCTAGCTTGTAGAGTCTATCAACAGGTGTAGGTTTGAGACAAGTCACACAGCAACCTCATTGTCTGTAGCTTTAAAAACATCTTCCTCTGTGCATAAGGCAGAGCATTGTGGACAAGCATACCGGTGCGGAGTTTGTTCTGCTCCACAGTCACACAAGGTGAAAGATTCTTCTAGGTAGTGCCATTTGGCCAGGTTGTCTTTCGATCTGCCAACTCCACTTTTGAGTCTGTTCAGGGACTTTCAAGCTGAACAGGATGTCGTAAAGGGTAACTTTGCGAGTTGCGCACAGCTTGTAAACAGTTTTCTTTCCTCCCGTTGCCCTTTCTAACCTCCCTCTCCCTTCTTCCAGCTCCACGCAGACGCCATCCTCCCATTTTACAACTTCAGCGGCCAGCCCAGCGGGGAAGCCTTGGTCACTTTCCCCAGCCTGGACTCAGCCAAGAAAGCCGTGGCCGAGCGAAGCGGCTGCCTCTTGGGAAGCCGCTGTGTGGAGCTCTGCCTTGTCTAACCCTTCGACCGAGGATTGGGACTAAGAGCCAGCTTCCAGCCTTGTGTGCCTCCAAAATTATCACCTCCATCTCGAGAAGAACCAAGTCTTCCCTCGCCAAAGTGCCTGCTGCCAATACAACAAATTCCATTTATCTTTGGAGTGAAATGGAACCAAACAAACACCAAATGTAGTCATTCCCACCTATTGATTTGGAGAACGGATACGGCCTTGCAGCAGTTGTCAGCTCAACGGATCATTTTTTAATTTCTGTTTAATTTTATGTAACGATTAGGAGAGGAAAAGGGAGTCGATTTGCCTCCTTTGAAACCATTTTATTTTGGAATTTGCCAAAAAATGTGCCTTTCTTTGAAGGGAGGAGTTCGAAAAACCGATTTTTTCTTCCAAATAGGACTTCCCTGAAATGTCGCCCCGATGGGCATTTATATTTGCTTTCCGGAAATATATAATCCAAATGAATTTCAGCAAATTAAGTATTTCAGGGTATTTTAGTTTGTTTTTTTCTTGTGCGGCACGAGGCAAATAACTAAGCCATATCTGTTTCATAGCATTCAAGATGCCAACTTGAAAACCCAACTCAAAGAAAACCCCGAACTAGGGACGAGAATGGCACATAAACCTTAAGGACTAGTAACTTATATGTTTTGTTTTATTTAAGGCTCATAGCTCTCGGATATTGTATTAAAGCATATTTCGCTCTAGTTTATGTGCATGCCATTTGTTTACAACCTTAATACATTATTTGTATATTACGAAGCAAAAACAAAAGGAAGAAAACGAGAAGTGGAAAATCTCGACCTATTGATTAGTGCATGTCTCTCTTTATTTTTTAATGTATGTATATATACATGTCCAGAGGATATAGTTTTTATGTTGCATAGTGTGGAATAAGACCACGACTGTAGAAGCACTCAATGATTTGGGTTTTGTTTTTGTATTTACCGTGCCTTGATCAGGACTTTTCCTCGAAAAGTGCAATAACAGCAGAAGAAACTGGAAGGAGCCTCCAAAGAGCCTGTGTTTTGCGCAGGGATCGCGTCCTTTTTTGTGTGTGTGCGAGGCCTACAACTCTTGAGTAGTACTTAAAAGGGAATCAGACCCCGAAATGATGTTGATGTATGCTTCTTTCATATGATACGAAATAAAGGAAAAATATGCTTGCAGAATAATTCTTTTTATTGTTTCAGAGAGTTAGAGACCCTAAGGCAGCATTTCTCAACCTGGGGGTCAGGACTCCTTAGGGGATCATGAAGGGGGGTCACCAAAGACCATCAGAAAACATATTTCTGATGGTCTTAGGAATGCCTTTGGCAGATCTCTCTGCTTGACCTTCTCTTCCTTTTTGGTGTTGGTGAACTTCTCCTAATACTACCAGTAGTACTATCATTGCTAGCAGACTCTATCACAACAGAACTACAATTTTATTATTTATTTATTTATTTACTTTACTTGTATACCGCAGTTTCTCAGCCCAACAGGCGACTCAACGCGGTTTACAACAAGGATAAAAAACAATCAACGATATACAATTTAAAACCATAAAAGCATAATATACAATATTGAACAACCATAAACAACACAATACATCTCATAACTGGAATCGTGATCCAATCCGTCGTCCAAATTTCCATTCCTGTAATCATCACATTCATTGCACTGTTTAACCGAATGCCCGTTCAAACATCCAAGTTTTTAATCTTCTTCGGAACACCATTAGCGAGGGGGCTGATCTTACCTCCATAGGAAGGGTGTTCCACAGCCGGGGGACCACCACAGAAAAGGCCCTGTCTCTCGTCCCCGCCAGCTGCACCTGTGAAGCAGGCGGGATAGAGAGCAGGGCCTCCCCAGAAGATCTTAGGGTCCTGGCGGGCTGATAGGCAGAGATATGTTCGGATAGGTAACTTGGGCCAGAACCGTTTAGGGCTTTAAAGGCCAACGCCAGCACTTTGAATTGAGCCCGGTAGCAGATCGGCAGCCAGTGGAGCTGGTGCAGCAGAGCTGGTGCACCTTGTCCACATCCTCGGGTTTCACCAATTGAAATGAATCCATCAAAATTGGACAAGCAGCTGCTCATGTTACATCCTCAGAGACTGCCGTTAATATGGTATCCAGACCAGAGCGGATCAAAGCGACTTTGTCTGCAAAGAACTGAGCAAAGGCTTCACAGCGAGCTGCCGAGTCATCAGGGCACCCATCCTGAGTGGCGGGTTTTAATAGGCCTCTGACAACTCGGAACAGTTCAGCTGGACGGTTCTTTGCAGACGCAATAGTGGCCGCAAAGAAAGTCTTCTTTGCGGATTTTATTGCCGCGGCATATGCCCTTAAAAAGGACACAAACCGTGTTCGATTTGGCTTGCTCGGATCTGCACGCCACACACTCTCTAGTTCCCTCTTCCTTCGCTTCAACGCTGCCAGCTCCTCAGTGAACCAAGGGGCTGGTTTAGCTCAGCTACTTGAGAGGGGACGTTCTGGAGCGATCGTGTCTATTGCCCTAGTCATCTCCCCATTCCAGAGAGCGACCAGGGCATCAACAGGATCACCAACCGAGGTGGCGGGAAATTCCCCAAGAGCCATCAGGAATCCATCCGGATCCATAAGCCTCCTGGGGCGGACCAGCTTAATGGGTCCTCCACCTCTGCAGAGGTTAGGGGGTGCAGTAAGTCTAAAACTGACCAGGTGGTGGTCGGTCCATGGCAACGGAGAGATGGACAACTCCTCAACACCGCCACCTTCCTCCCATCCCTGGCAGAAAACCAAGTCCAATGTGTGTCCTGCACTGTGGGTGGGGCCAGATACCTGTTGGGACAGCCCCATGGTTGCCATGGTAGACATGAAGTCCTGAGCCGCTCCCAATAAGGCGGCCTCGGCATGGACATTGAAGTCCCCCAGCACAAGCAGCCGTTGGGACTCCAATGCCAGGTCCGAGACCACCCCCGCTAGCTCAGGCAGGGAGACTGTAGTGCAGCGAGGTGGACGGTACACTAACAGAATCCCTATTCTGTCCCGGTCACCCACCCTCAGGTGGACACATTCAAAATTTGTTGACTGCGGGATGGGGCCCCTGGTCAGAGGGATGGAATCTCTATAGACCACTGCAACCCCGCCTCCCCGCCCTCCGGATCTCGGTTGGTGCTGCACAGAGAAACCTGGTGGGCAAAGCTGGGTCAAATTCACACCTCCAGCTTCGTCCAGCCAGGTCTCCGTGATGCACGCCAGATCTGCCCGTTCATCCAGGATTAAATCCTGGATGAAAGCTGTTTTACCATTGACAGATCTGGCGTTCAACAGCACCACCTTCAATCCGGAGCCTCCAAAACTCCATCATTATTCAGTGTTGGCCATGTAGGTAGTGTGCTAAGTTTTTGCAGATCCATTGTAGGCTGGGATCAGAATGCTCTTTGGTTGTAGGTGACCTATAAATCCCAGCAATTACAACTACTAAATGTCAAGCTCTATTTCCCCCAAATTCTACCAATATTAAATTGTCGAAGGCTTTCATGGCCGGAATCACTGGGTTGTTGAGGTTTTTTTTGGGCAATATGGCCATGTTCAAGAGGCATTCTCTACCAATATTCACATCTGGGCATATTGAGTATTCGTGCCAAGTTTGGTCCAGATCCATCATTGTTTAGTCCACAGTGGTCTCTGGATGTAGGTGAATTGCAGCTCCCAAACACAGTCAACGCTCACCAAACTCTTCCCGTATTTTCTGTTGGTCATCTGTGTGGGAAGTTTGGCCCAATTCTATCATTGGTGGAGTTCAGAATGCTCTTCGATTGTAGATGAATTATAAATCCCAGCAATTACAACTACCAAATGTCAAGCTCTATTTCCCCCAAACTCTGTCAAGCTAAGGCGCAACTTGACAGAAGCAAATGCTAGATACACCAGATACAGCTCTGTAAAATCATGGACTCTGGGGACGTCAGGTTACAAGGAAAACTCAGTTTACTAAGTTCTTTCTCCCACCATGGACATTATTCCACAGATATATAAAGCCCATTTTCCTAGTTTCCAACAGACCTCACAACCTCTGACATGCCTGCCATAGATGCAGGCGAAATGTCAGGAGAGAATGCTTCTGGAAAATGGCCATACAGTCTGGAAAACTCACAACCAGCCAGTGATTCCACTGGCTGGTTGTGAAAGCCTTCCACAACACATTCAAACCTTCAAGATTCTTGCACTCATCCTTTCCCTCCAGTAGGTGGCGCCCTTCACACTCAAATCACCAATAGAAAAAGAAAGAACTTCACTTTGTTCTTCTTCCTTGACTTTTTCAAAGCTAAGTATCCTTTGCCTAAATGTTGTATTTTTGCATATGGAGGTAGTTAACATCATCATACACACATATACCTGTTCGTATGGGCAATTCCTTTAAGGGATCATGGATCAGAAAAAAACTACTTTGGTTTTTTTTCCCTTTTTTCTGTGTCAGGAGTGACTTGAGAAACTGCAAGTCGCTTCTGGTGTGAAAGAATTGGCCTTCTGCAGTGATGTTGCCCAGGGGACACCTGGATGTTTTGATGTTTTACCATCCTTGTAGGAGGCTTCTCTTGTGTCCCCGCATGGGAAGCTGGAGCTAACAGCTGGAGCTCTGAGAGTAGTTTGCCATGTTCATTTTTTATAACTTTTTCCAGCTTGTGATCCCACCAGTTCATTTGTCACACGAAGATGGTATTTGTGGCACAAGTTCCAATGAATCATCTGAGCAATGGTGGTGTTTTTTTTTAATCGTGTCAGGAGTCGCTCCTGTTGAGAGAGAATTGGCCGTCTGCAAGGACGTTGCCCAGGGGACGCCCGGATGATTTGATGTTTTTATCATCCTTGTGGGAGGCTTCTCTCATGTCCCCGCATGAGGAGCTGGAGCTGATAGAGGGAGCTCATCCGCCTCTCCCCGGATTCGAACCTGCGACCTGTCGGTCTTCAATCCTGCCGACACAGGGCTTTAACCCACTGCCCCACCGGGGGCTCCAGCAATGGTGTTATGCCTCTGCTTATAGTCTGTCTGTGCAATCTTCTTGCAGCAGCTGAGGATGTGATCTATTGTTTCATCTGCTTCCTTGTAGAGTCTACACTTGGGATCTGTCATCGACTTTTCAATTTTGGCTTTGATGACATTTCTAATGGCTTGTTCTTGGGCTGCCAGAATCAGGCCCTTTGTCTTCTATTACTTACTTACTTACTTACTTACTTACTTACTTACTTAGGCGATCCCTRGTAGTCCGAGGATGATGGTCCTCAAAGGCCAGTGTTCTATTGCTGGGTCRGTAGGCGACTGTGGAGCCCCATTCTTGACCTGCATCATCTCCCGCAGTGAGGGCATTGGTTTCCAGGTGGAAGGCAGTCCCGGTCGGGGTTGGCTTGACGCYCCTTCCTCTTGGCACGTTTCTCTCTTTCGCCTTCCATTCGTGCCTCTTCAAATTCTACAGCACTGCTGGTCACAGCTGACCTCCAGTTAGAGCYCTCAAGGGCCATGGTTTCCCAGTTCCCAGTGTCTTTGCCAGAGTTTTTAAGGTTGGCTTTGAGCCCATCTTTAAATCTCTTTTCCTGTCCTCCAACATTCCATTTTTCGTTCTTGAGTTCGGACAATCCACATCAAACCAACGATAAAGTCCGAACAGGATATTGCACATATGTAAGCAATGGCGCCCAAGGAAAACTGATGAAATGTAGCCTTTTGAAATCTTTGGGAAATATTATGTAAGTTCTATAGTTAGGAGCCCCCGATGGCACAGTGGGCTACAGCACTGAGCTGCTAAACTCGCTGACCAAAAGGTCACAGGTTCGAATCTGGGGAATGGGGTGAGCTCCCGCTGTTAGCCCCAGCTTCTGCCAACCTAGCAGTTCGAAAACACGCAAATATGAGTAGATCAATAGGTACTGCTCCAGTGGGAAGGTAACGGTATTCCATGAAGTCATGACCTTGGAGGAGTCTACGGACAACGCCGTCTCTTCGGCTTAGAAATGGAGATGAGCACCAACCCCCAGAGTCGGACACGACTAGACTTAAAATCCGGGGAGCAGGGTGAGCTCCCGCTGTTAGCCCCAGCTTCTGCCAGCCTAGCGGTTTGAAAACAAGCAAATGTGAGTAGATCTATAGGTACTACTCCAGCGGGAAGGTAACGGTGCTCCATGAAGTCATGACCTTGGAGGAGTCTATGGACAA